AGATGGACAGCAGTTACCTGTGTGCGTCCAGGCGCTGGTGGCTGTGCCCCGGCTCTCCCAGCAGCGAGCTGCCCCGTCCCGATAGGGATCATTTTTATATCCTCACCCATGTGATCCCAACGAATGCCCCAGGGATGAGTTTTTTTTTTTTTTTGCACTGACACAACCGGAGGGGCCGGCGCTCGAACAAACCTGTTGGACCACAATCCGTGCTCAGCACCGGGCAGGAATTTTCCACTCTCTGGGTGCGCCGATGCACGGTGCACGCCAGGACCTGCGCTTGCACGGCTCCCTGAAAGCAAAAGCAAAGAGAAAAATGCAAACTTTCCCATTCCCCAACACTCCTAATGGTTCCTCGACCTCATTCCTAAGTTTCTGTGTTGAAGTTGGAGCGCATAGGTGGAGAAATGCGTGGAGGAATACGTTAGAGACATTGAGTGGACACAAGCTTTGTGCCGTGCGTGCCATCTCTGCAAAGTGCATGCTCCTTCTGCAAAGTGCATGCCATTCCTGCAAAGATAGCACTGCAGATGGTGCTCAGGGTGAGAGATGTGGGCAACGCTTTGCCCCCCCAAGCTCTCCCTGCAGCCTTTGTGCCCAAATCCAAGGGTTTGGATGGGGGTGATGGTGGGGATGCTCTCGGTGGTGTTGATGGTGCAGCGCTGGGCAGAAGGGAGGCGTGGACCTGGCTGGGGTGTGATAAATGCCCAAGGGTGACAGGATGGGAATGGAAAGGGTGAGCTTGGGAGAAGTGTTGGTGAGTCAATGGGAACCTCAGGAGCAGGGAAATGACCACAGCCAGCAGGGCTGAGTCAGTGGGACCAGCTGGTGAGTCAATGGGAAAGCAGGGAGCTAATGGAGCGATGGGCTGCAGGTTGTGTGGGGCACACAGAGGGGCAGGAGGAGGGGATAGGGGTGACCCAGCATGGAGTTTTGCACTCCTGGAGTGCTGCTGGGTCACTGAGCCCTGTATAGGGCTGGATAATGTGTGATCTATAGGGTTTGCTTGCGTTCCAGCTGTTCTGGGGTTGGTTCTGTGGGGTTCCAGCCTCTGCAGGCTGCCCCAGGTGGTGCTGTGCTGGCACAGCCCTGGGGTCAGTGCTGCCAAGGGGCCGGGCAGCGGGGCTGGGGCTGTGCCAGGCTCTGGGAGCAGACACACAGCGGGACACAGAGCGGTAGGTGGGAGGGCAGGGGGGTTTGGGGCAGCAGGCGGCTTTCCCTCGTGTGTTGGGGCAGGTGCAGGGGTTCTGTGCACCCTGATAGCAGTAAATTGGGGTCACCGTGTGGTAATGGTGCTGAGAGCCTGGTGCTGTGCTGGAAGGGGTTGGGGTGGGTTCATGGCAGTACACATCGGGTCCAGCAGCGTGGATTTGGGTGGGGATGGCAGCGGGTTTGGGGGCTGTTTGCTGAGAAGGGAGCAAACGGTTGGGAAGCAGGGAGCTGGGAAGAACTGGGGGGCTGTCAGGATTGTGGGTACCCAACACTGGTTTTGGGGATGTCCTGGAGCATTTCCCTAGGGAAGACCCATAGCTGTGCCCACCAAACCAGCGTGAACCCCAGTGGCAGCCAGGTTGAAGCTGCCTGAGGAAGGGTTGAGCCGATTTGGTGCAGTTTGAGTCTATTGATGCAAAGGTTAATTGTGTCTCCACTGGGGGTTGGGACCCCTGTAACTTATCTGCTCACAGACAAGGAGAGGGTGGCTCAAACCCCACATCCAGGCTGTGCTCCCCTTCTCTTTGGGCCGCAGAGAGCAAACAAGCTGGGGGGCTGAAGAGCTGCACACAGCTGAATCTGAAATGGGGATATTTATAGCCGTCCCTGCTTGACTGCCCTAAATTCCGTGCAGGTCCCTGTGCATGGGGAGCAGACATTTGGAGGGTTCCCCCCCACCCTGGCTGAGTCAGGGCTGCTCCTTCCTCACCCCATCACCCCTCAGCCTCAGGGCTTTCCCACGAGCATCACCCAGCAGCGCCGCGTGTTTGGGTTTACTGTCATCCCTTCAGGGCTGTAATCACCATTAGGGCACCCACGAGGCATTAGGACACACCTCCCCCTTCCTGCGAAGGTGCAGTGCCAAAGAGACGTGCGGGGAGGGCAGAGGGGTGAAAACACCCAGCTGGGGACAGGTGACACCTCGGTGGCCCACGCAAAGTCCCGTAGGAGTGTGGGTGGGAGCCACAACCTGAGGGTTGCACAATACATATATATATATATACTGCTGGCGTGCTGCTTAAAGCAGCAATTTTCTCTTCATCCTGAGTGCAAAAGGCTGAGCCTGAAGCACGGAGCCGCGCCGGGTGGGTTGCAGCAGAACGGAGCGTGCAAGTGGTGGTGCAAGCTGGTTGCACGAGGATCCACGCTGCTGGTGCAGCTGCAGAGCTGCTGGTGCAGGGGAATGAGCTCCTGCCTTGCGACTGCCAAATGCATGCACTTAATATAGGTCAAATGCAAACGTTCTTCCCGAAATAGAAGCCCTCTTCCATGGAAAGAGCTGCAGCTCAGTGCAGTCACAAGGGCTCTGCCAGGTGCTGCAAAGGGAGCTGGTGTGCAAGCGTGGGGCTGCTGCCACCAAGGTGACCTCCTACTGCAAACATAGCTGCGTGTGGTGCATCCTACCCAAAACGTGCTTTGGCTACTGGAGAGGAGCTTGGGGATGGGGTGAGCATACTTGTGCTCTGGATGGGGTGGAGAGGTGAGTGACCCCCCCTCAAGTCATGCATCTCGCTTGCAAAACCCACTGTGAAAGCAGTGCTGGTTTATGCATCATGCAAGTGAGCCAGGAAGAGCAGCCATGCATGGGCTTGGAGCAACATGGGGTGCTGCAGGGGAGGAATGTGCTCCTGCTGCAGAGCTGAGGCCGTGCAATGGGAGCAGCGCTGCAGCTCCATGGGCTGATGCCAGGCTGTGGGGCTGCACCCCTTGGCTCCTGTGCTGTGCTGCTCCTGTGCTGCTCTGCTGATGCAGAAGTGTTGGCTGTGGGTGTGCTCTGCTGCTCGGTTTGCACTGCACTGTGCCCTCTTGGGATGCACAGAGCACAGCAAACTGCTTGCAGCTTCAGAGCACAAAAAGCAGCGTGCAACCTCACAGCACTGTGTGTCCACCCCACGATCCCATAAAGATTCCTGTGAAGGCTGCAGTGACCCAAACCATGGGTTCAGCTGTTGAACTCGCTCAGGGGAGGTTTTCTACCATCAGAAACCCCAAACCCTCCCAACCCTTACACAGAGCCTTTGTGCTGCACACAAAGCACTGCAAGTGGGTTGGTGGGAGCAATGTGGGGCAGCCCTATGGCCACATCTGTGGGGCTGGAATGGGGCGTTGGCTTTGGGTAATCCTTAGGAAGAGAGATAAGACCTGCAGTGTGGGCAGGGCACGGCGGAGGTGCACTGGGGGCCAGGATGTGGCTTTCTGCTTCCTCTGATGGCCATGAAAAAGGCTGAGAAAGGATCTTCTTGCACAATGGAGGGGATTTCCCTACTTCTGTCACCTCCATGCAGTCCCCCTGAGTAGCAGAACCAATTTCTGACTGTAGGAATTGGAGCTGCCCCCAGGACAGCGCTAAATGAGTGTCACCAATGCCCTCCGTGGGGAAACTGAGGCAGAAATCCAGCCCAGCTCTTCCTGCAGCAGCTGATTTGCATTCACCGAAGTGCTGAAAAGCTTGCTGCACGTGCAAGGAGCACCACTCATTGCACAAGCAAGCTTTTGCTCACACCACACGGAAACCTTTGCACAAGCATCAGAGCAAAGCCTCGGCGAGAAAGGGCTTCCATCAATGCCATTGCATGGGATGAAGCAGCCCGTTGGGGTGCAGGCAGTGGATGCAGCCCGACAGCCGCGTGCCAGCAGCTTCCCAGCAGCAGGAAGGACAGCATTCCTGGCACCCTGCGCTGCTGAGTCAGGAGCTGCGATGTGCAGCACACACACATCCTGGTGCTGTGCTCAGGGCCCGACCCGGCGCGTGCTTTCCCACGGAGGAGGATGTTCTGAGGGGTGGTAGAGTGGTGCAAACTGCTGGCACGTGTTGGCTCCTTGCTGCCAGGGCCCTGCGGTCTCGTGGGAGCTGCTCTGACACCGTGGTGTCCCCGTGTGTTTTATTGCCTGCTGACATAGGGCTGTTCCGTAGGGGCTTCCTGCTGGCTCTGCAGCTCCCGAGCTGGAGAAATAGGATCTCTGTAATTACTCTGCAAATAGCTTTGCAGTAGAGAGAGAGCCGCGTTTATCTGCTGCGAGAGGTTGCTGCTCCCTGGGGTGTTCTTGCAGAGCATCCCTGGAGAGCTCTTTGCTCCTCAGCGATCAGCAAACCCTTTTCTGCTGATGCTGCTGTGCACTGAGGCTCCAGGGGGGCTCTCTGCCCCCCGGCTGATGAATGCCCATGTGGATGCCCCTATCTGGGCTGCTCGGGGTGCATCCTGCCTGCCTTGTGCTGACCTTTGGGTTTCCCCATGGAACTGCTGCAGACTGGTTTGCAATGAAGCAGCACTGCTCCTCGTGCCCTGAGTGCTGATTTTGTGGTTCTCCAGGTGAAATACCAAAATCTGATGCTTTGCCATTGCTTCCTTCCAACCGAAGCTGTCTGCATCCATGTCTGTGCCTGCAGCAATCCAGGACAGAGCTGCAGAGCAGACGTTTGTTCTGCTTTCTTCCTACAGCTATTAGCCCCTAAACCTCTGGGTCATTCCCCATCCATTACTGCTTCTAATTAGTTGAGCCTGGTGCTTTTTATCTGTCCATAATGATGGTGGTGCTGTACTTGTGCTCACTCTGCGTGCGGCCGCTTCGTTATGTAATGACTGTGCTGTAACACCCGCTCCCAACTGACAGTGGGTTTGTATTTGTTTTGCCTCATCCTAAATGATTTGGGTGATGGGGAAAGTCGGGTCACATCCTTTTTGTTGGGCCGGGTAGAGCTTGGGGATTTGGGGCCAGGTGAGGTGATGTGGGTACAGTCGTCATGGGGTTGGGGGGTTGGAACCCACTGCTGGTTTTTGTGATGCTTTGGGGGTCTTTATGGGATGAGCTGCTCCTTCCTATGCTGTCCCACCCCCAGTTCCAACCCCTGCATCCCTCCCATCTCCACGGTAACCACGGAGCTGCTGCTCCATCCTCGGTGCCCACGGGTGAGTGCTGAGCTGTGGGGTCCTTGGGGATGCTGTGGGGGTTATGGGGAGGGCTGTGGGGTGCAGATCCTCTAACCTGACCCTCCCCAGGCTCAGGGCTGGGCCAAGCCTCTTTGTAGGAAGGGCACTGGGGCTCTGTTCCTTCCCTGTGACACAGTGGTGGCAGCCTCCAGGTGGGGATGACAGCGGGTTCCTGTGCACGGGGTCCCCAGCGGCGCAGTCTGTGCCGGGCATCACTGATGTGGAATTAGTAGAAATCAGAAAAACAGCTCATAGGGGAGCAAGGGGGGACTGAGCTGAGCCACAGCGTGGTGCCGCGTCCTGGTGGGGCTGACCACGTCCTTTGTTTGCTCAGGGCAGCATGGGGCTGCTGGCTGCGGTGCTGCTGGCTGCTCTCCTGCCGGGGATCGCTGCCCGGGGGGCTCAGGCGCTGTGGCCGGATGAACCCTCACACATCTGCTCCTTCCAGAGCCTCAGCGGCAAGGACAGCGAGTTCTGCAGGTGAGCAATCCCCTCCCAAAGCACCTCCCCCAGCCCATGGGGCGGCCATTTCCAGCATCCTCCCCCCCAAGGCTATCAATACCCGTTGCTGTCCTTCCCACTGCCAGGAATCTGCTTGCATGAGATGTGCGTATCCCTTCCTTTGGGGGTTTCTGAGTTATGTACCTCCTTATTGCTGCCTCCAAAATGCTTCTGGGATGGGATGTGACTGATATAGAAGGTTGTGGATGAGTGCAAGCAGAGTGAAGGCACCTTGCTTTGGACTCCTGGCCTCTGTAGGGTCAGCCCCATGCTGCTTGGCAGCCTTTGGGGATGCAGATTCAAGAGCCCCTCCTGTCAGGGCCTCAAGGCACCCTGTTCCTGTGCTGTGTGGGAAAGGGAAATTGTTCCAAGGCTGAGCTGGGGGTATCTGACCTGTTATTGCACTGTCTGTGTCCAAAACCCACCTGATGCTCAGCTCTGCTTACCTATCATGGGAGGGAGAAGCAGCTCAGAGCCCAACAGGAAGCAGGGATGGCTTTGCTCCCTGTCTTCAATCTTTGAATTCAGCCATATGGCCCCACGATTTTAAGGCTTTGGAAGCTCCTGAAAATAATCTGAGCCATCCTGAGCATTCAGAGCTCAATTATTGCTGCTTGGGGGGGATGAGGAAAAGAAGCAAACCCCGTGCTTAGAGCATGGGAGGCTGCACAACAAGCTGTCCGTGGTGGCAGGTTGCATCCCACACCTCCTGCCTCATGCTGAACCAACCCCCCTTCCCACCTGACCCATTCTTTCCCCTATTTCTCTCCCCAGAGGCAACTTAGAAGTCATCTACCCAGAGCTGGGTGATGTGGGCTGCACCTACATCCCCACTTGCCACGAGTCCCGTTGGCGCATCAGCAGGGAGTGGGGCAGCCCCCAGGTCCTCTACCCTCAGGCCAAAAAGGTGAGTGCCGTGTGGGTCCTGCCATTGCTGTCCTATAATGCTATCATCGCTCAGGTTGTGCTTGCTGCTTTTTATTATTAACATTTTGCACGAAACCGGGATGATTTTATGCTTATTCCCACTCTTCTCCATTGCTTCGGCGTTCGGGTTTGGGGTTGGCAAACCCAAGAGAAAAAAAAGCAGTAAATATACAAATATTTTCGAGCTTTTTGAACGCAGAGGCAGCTCTGGTTGGGTGTTTCCATTCCCACACAGCCGGGTTCAGGAGTGCGGTGTGAGCCGGGGCCGATGCTGGCGTTGACGCGTCCCGATGGGGCGGAGGAAGCGCTGCCGTTGCATTCGAGCGATGCCAGCAGATGGCACCATTGAACTTCGAGCCGAGCGCTGTTGGGGTGGGCACCCCTGGGGGCTGCACCCCGCATTGGGGAGGGGACCACTGCCCAGCTCTGTGTGCTACGATAGGATTTGTCTTCTTGGGGTCACCCCCTCGGGGACCCCAATGGGGCGGTAACCTGAGGGTTGGTGGCATCATCTTGCTGGGGTTCGTCCCCAAGTTGGTGTCCCAGCGCGCCCTGTTGGCGTCCCGACAGCTGCTCCAACAGCTGTAGGGGGCACGGAACTCGCTGCGCATCTCAAAGGGACAGGAATCAGTTCTTCCATCTGCTTCGTCGGCATCCAAAAAGTCTCTTCCCAAAGTCGATCGCATGGAATGGAGCGTAACTTTTTCTTAAGGATGTCTGATTATTCAAAGAAAATAAAAATGGGAAGGGAGGAAGGAAGGGAGGGAGGAAGGGAGGGAGGAAGGAAGGGAGGAAGGAAGGGAGGAAGGAAGGGAGGAAGGAAGGAAGGAAGGAAGGAAGGAAGGAAGGAAGGAAGGAAGGAAGGAAAGAAAGGAAGAAGGAAAGAAAGAAAGAAGGGAAGGAAGAAAGGAAGAAAGGAAGAAAGAAAAAGGCCCAGAACTGGCAGAGGATGCTGTGCACAGAGCCACCCACCACTTGTGTGCTGCCTTGCAAGAGTTTGGAGATCGATCCCTTCCAAGCGCATTGCATTTGGGTGTCATCTGAGGACACAGCCCCTGCTTCTTCCTTTGCTTTGCTTTCATTCTGCCCTCCCCCAGCCCAACGCAGCCCCAGCTCGGTGTGTTTTGCACCATGGAGATGCAATTAACAGGGGGTTAATTTGGGGTGAGGGGTTGGGTGGTTTTGTATTGTCTCCCACACATTGTTGCTGAAATCCTTTGGGTGAAATGCTTTGGTGTTTCTCTATGAGAACACAAATATTGACCACCTAAACGTTTCCCTGCTCCTGGAGCTGTGAAGATGCTCTTTCCCTCAAACCACCTCCAACATGAATCTTTTCCCCCCAAAATTCCACCCAGAACTGGGAGAACTGAGGCATGACTCCACCACACCGAATCCAAGGCACGCACAAGGGAGTTTTGCTTTTTGTGCCTATGATGGGATTTCTAAGGCCAGAAAACTTGATTTATTTATTTTCTCTTTCTTTTTTTTTTAGTTATAAGGAAGGGAAACAGGGAAACCTCACTTTGTGTGTGGGGCTGCTCAGCACTGAGGGTCCTGATGGGCGCTGGATGGGTGTAATGGGACGGCTGAGCTCGTTTGCTTGTTCCATCAAAATTAGCAGCAGGGAAGCTGGGTTTGGGGTATGAGAACTCGCGTAGGAAGTGTCTGCTTCCCTTGGAACGCTTTGTTTTGTCAAGAAAAACAACCACAAGAATGATCCCCCTGCAGAGTGTGTTTATGTTTTCTGATGGGGAGGACAGGACTTTGCCCATCCTTACTCTGGGTCACATCGCGCCGTGCTTATCCCACTGTGCTTCAGCGCTGGCGTGGAGTTGAAAGGCTCAACCACCCTGCATCTGTCCTGCAGGTGGGTGCTGAGGGTGCTCACCTGGTGCAATGAGCAAAGCAGTGAGCATCAGCCTTGTTGCTCCGTGCCATGCAGCTGGGACTGAGTGCTGGCCGTGGTTACGAAGCATCTGCTGGTGGAGGGGCGACGCATCCCGAAGCCCAACATCTGGAGAGATGGGAAATGCGCCCTCCTCGTCCCGCCTCAATATTGCTTCGCTCAACCAAAAATAAATTGGAAAAGAAAATTGGACGTCGCACCAATTTGGGGGCAAGTTTATAAATTCTGCAGCTAAGCAATCCCAATAGAAAATGATAGATCGCCGCGGAGCGCACGGCCCCGGCCGTGATGTATGGCCGCATTAACCAGCACGCCATATTACATGATTCTCTTTTATTACCACTCTTGGTGGCAGACAGAAAAACAGATTACACTTGAGATCAAATCGATAGGAACTTTATTTACTGGCCTTTTAAAAACATATTTCTGCACTTTATAAAAACATACGGTAGATGCTATTGATAGAAGTTGTCTGCTTGTTAAAAGGCAATTTACCCGGGCGATGCTCGTAAGTTGCGTTTTTACTGTGCTACCTGTTACCTGCTCGTCCTGATCTGTGCTCATTGCCGTGGTTGATGACTTCCTTAGGTTTACTTGGGGCTCGGTGTGGGGAAGGGCAGGGCAGCATCGTGCTGGGAGAGCGGTGACTGAAATGGAGTTGGGCACAACTTCATGGTTGGGAGCACTCGTCTGGGTTAGCTCAGGTTGGATATTAGGAAGATGTTCTCTGGAAGAGTGGTAGGATTTTGGCATGGGGTGTCCAGGGAGGTGGTGGGATCACCATCAGAAGCTGTGGGATGTGGCACTGAGGGACATGGTTAATGGGGATGGGTTGGGCTTGGGATTTTGGAGGTCTTTTCCGACCATAATGATCCTATGAACTCTTCTCCCATTGGTCTGAGGTCAAACAAATCCACTTTGTTGGGTTATGAAGGCTCTCAGCATCGTCGCTTTTGGCCAACTTAGAAATGAAATGCTTTTCTTGTGGTTCCTATTCCAACAGAACTTCTGAAACTTGAGTTTTTTGCAACAACCCTTTTCTCCCCAAGCCTGTCCCATCAGTCTTGCGCATCTGCAAACTTTCTGCAGGCAAAGCTGCGACCCAAGAGATCTCCACCTCTTAGAACTTCCATCGTATCTTATTCTTTAAAAGCCCCTTCCATAGCAGGATGAGTTGGAAGTCATGAGCTAAGGGTGATGTGCTCATGGCTACACACAGCACAACTCCTTGCACAGAGCTGTGCTGCTTTGGGACCAGAGCTGCAGCCACGTCCCTTTCTGTCCCCCTCCTCCTTTTGTGAACATCTGGAGGCAGCTCTGATTTATAAATATTTCTGTGCTCTAGGGTCCGCAGCCCATTATTTGGAAAATTACTTCTATGGGTAAATTCATTAGCCTTTAACAAAGGGAGGAGAGGATCTGCTCAATCTCTTGGTGGGGCCGTGCTCTAGTTGTGTCAAGCAGTGATTTGCAGCTGGCTGGGCGAGGGGCTTCGGAGCGGCACTCAGGTTCAATTCAACTCTCATTAAAGAAGACGTTTTTAAGCAGAATTTTTCTTGACAGTTTGTGCATCCTCGCTGGCTCGTGGCACCATCTGGGGTTGAGGAGCCACCAGCGTTTTTCTCTCGATTCTGTCCAGGCTACTTAAAAAAAAAACAACAATGGGCTCGCATTCCTTCCCCACGCTGTCAGCCAGATATGGAATTACCCAAGCCCTTGGTGCCAACCCCTCCCTCCTGCCCTGCTTTGGGTTCCCATGCCCCGCGACGGCGCCTGAGCATCCCATCACCCCGACTTCAGAGGGCTGTGCTGCGGTGGGGCAAAGCCTGCGAGCAAGCAGAGTGCCTCTCCGAGCTGGAGGAAAAGCAGAACTGTGTTGCTCCACTCTGTCCTCCATTGACCCGAGCTACAGATTCCAGGTTGAGGATGCAACCGCTGCTGCACATCCCCGAGCAAAACGCTGCTCTCCTCCCTCTGTGTTTTGTGGGGCTCTTCAACAGGGCACCCTTGGTGTAACGGGTGGGTTGGTGCTCAGCACCCGGCCCCACCATGGGGGACAGCTGGTGCCACGCCATGAGAGTGTCTCTCCATGAGTGATCCTGGCAGAAACGTCACTTTGCATCTGATTCATTACCTACACGTTTGCTGGACGTTTATCTGCCCCGGACAAATAGCGATGGCAAGAACCTCCAGGTCATCAAATCCACGCTCCTCATTGCTTATGTATTGGCATCCATGCGTGTCTAGGACAGACACTTGTGCCTGTTTCAGCTGCAAAATGTTTGAAGCAGCCGATGATTTTACTTTGATCCCCGTAAACACTATACAGTAATCAAAGTTTAAGCCGCTTTGGATGAAATAATTGCTTAACAATCATATAAGACAAAGTGATTCAACAAATGACAATTAGGACTTGTGATATACAGAACAGATGCATTCAGTGTACCATATTATAATGTGCTAATACAAGATTGACAGCACAATAATAGGAGAGAACAGCCACTCAGCCTATAATTCTAAACCAAATGTGAGGCTGTCCACAGAGCTCAAATCCTAGCAGGCTGTACAATTAGAGGTAAGAAGGCACAAGGTTCACAAAGACTCATTAGCAGGTTGGCTGCGAAATTTCCAAGGGGGGAACGCTCCCACGGCAGCGTTAGGCTGTGGGCTGTAGGGAGGAGGGGGCTCAAGGTGATGGTGTAGGGGTTGGGTGCATCGTGTGGGGCTGTGATGTGTCCCTGGAGATCTCTGCTCTGATTTCGGGGCTGTGTGATGGTGTTGAGTGCAGTCCGGCGTTGGGGACCCGGCTCCATCAGATGCTGTTACAGCACAGTGTGGGTGCATGAAGGAGACAACGGTGTTGGGGACTGGATGAAATGAAGGCTGATATGAGCACGGAGCACTGATTGGCATCCCCTATAGGAGTTGGGTGCTTCCCAAGCCCTAAATGATACTGATGGGTGACAGGGGCACCCTTTGGCCCTGTCCATGGCGATTAAGGCGCCCGCTCTTCTCTTTGGCTGAATCGAGTGATGGGGACACGTGCATGTCAATCTACAAAGGGAGGAAAT